GTCCCCAGCCCGGGGTACAAAGCGCGGGGCAACCCCGGCTGAGCGGCGGACACTGGGACGAACGCCGGCAGCCCCACATCTGCCGACCACCCAGAGAGTGCGCCCAGGGCGCGCCGAGGGCGCACGCCGCGGCCACGGGTCCCGCAGCGGTTCCGGAGGCCCCCGAAACCTGCGATCTGGTCGAGGGTCCGGCGGGCCAGAGCCCAAGAGGGAACCCGGACCCCGAGACCTGGCCGGCTTGCATAGGAGACAAAATCAGGCGGGTGAACGTGGGGCGTCACGGCACTCTTGGTGACGGTCTAGGGTGGGTCTACGGGCCAAGGTGGCCGGGAAGGAGAGTCCCAGGGGGCGGAACAGGCGCTGTTTGGGTTATTCTTTTTTTAAAGTGATGTTTAATGTCATCATCACGCCCAGTTCCAGAACTGGAAGCCGCCCCGACTTTCTCTGGCCGCGCTATTTCCTCCACCGCAGAGGCTTCCAGGCTGCTCCGGGGTTCCCCGGCCCGGGAGGCCAGAAGGGAGGAGACCCCATTCCGGTTCCAGCCTCCCGCCGACCCCGGGCGGGGAGCTTCCCCGGAGGCGGCCCGGGGCGGAGTGCGACGTCAGCGGCGGGCATGGAATCGTTTCCGAGGGAAAAAGCAAAAGCTAACGGGGAAGCCTCCGAAGCACCCCGGAGCCCTGTGAACACGACGTCCAGTGCATTTATTTGGGTCGTAATCGTCTCCGCCAAGCCCACAAAATATTTACGACTCGCATCTCAGCGCTGTACACGCTGTAAAACTGGGGACTGGATTTTGGCTGACGGCTCTCCCGGGTGTGTGTTCTCGCTCGCTCTCTCTCCCCCTCGCTCTCTGTCTACATACATACACGCGCTGGTATTACAGACACACGCCCTCATTACATCTCTGTGTATAATTCACAATATTTCACCGCATCTGGCTGTAAGAAGGGTTTTATAGCTTCCCCGAGAGTCGCCCGTGGCCTTGTATCCAAGCCGCAGATAGAAAGCTCAATTTAACTCCAAATAAACGGTGAAGTCGCAGTTCGGTGGACGCAGAGGGAGTGCTCGATTTATGCCACTACACATACATGAAGTCGCAGATCGGCGTCTCTCCACCGATCGCGGAGGCCCCAGGTAGGTGAAGCCGCCGGGCTTCTAGGAGGCCTCGGTGGACTGGCCCGAAGGGACCTCCCTTCCCCAGGCAGACTGGCGGCCAGGCGGCTGCTTTTCCTCTGGGCAGTCTGGGAGTGGCTTCCCCAAAGCAGGCCTTCACCCTGGCGGGACCCCGCGCCAGGCCCAGCTCATGTGCAGGCGTTGGGCATGGGCTTGTCCTTGCGCCCAGGCCAGGGCCGCGCATCGGACGGACCGGGAGCGGCGCGGGTGGAAACGACCCGAGAGGAACAGCGCCAGCCACCCGAGTCTCAGGCCGGCGCTGTTCGCCGCCTAGAGCTGGGTGTACATTCTTCGTTGGATTTAAATATTGAGGACTATTTGGTAACAAGAAGGGGGGGGCGCGCTTGGCCATTGGGTAGGAAGCTGGGTCCAGGAGAGCAGTGGAAAATATCGACCTAAAAGCAGGCTCGGCTGATGAGAAGCCCGCCTCCAGACGCCTGCTGCCGGCTGAGCGCCCACGAGTGTTTGTGAATATTATCACACAGCACCCAGTGCGTGTCTTTTCGATCAAAGAAGCAGGGAACCAATGATTCAAGAACACACAATTCAAAGGGCCTTATTGAAAGCCCGATTTTTGCCTGACCTTTCCGTTTCAAAATCCAACGTCAGGAGGCAGGAGGAGAGAGAGAAGCCCACAAACGAAAGAGAGGGGTTGGTGCCCGCAGGGCTCGGCCCAGTTGGCTGACTTGGGTCCTGAAGGGCCGAGGCCTTGCGGGCAGTGTCCGGATCTTCCTTGGCCAGGGCAGAGGGGCAGTGCGTCCTGCCAGAGCCGCTGGGACGCGCGCCCGGCCAAACCCAGGCAGGGATGAGCCGGCGGCGAAGGCGCCCAGCCCTTCCTTGGAGACGGCGTGCGCTTCTCCCCGCGCTCCCCGAAATCGCCCTCCACGCGGGCTGTTGTGTCGCCTCGCTCGGGGCAGGTTCTACTTTAAACGCCATCGCTGTCGCCCCCTCCAGCCGCCGAGTCTAGACAGACGGCGGCGGCGGGGCCTTGGTCTCTTGTCTTTGCGTCTTGCTCTGTGTCACTCCGGGAACAATTTATTGGTCTAAAGCCGTCTAATTCTGCCTCTTTGATCTCCTGGCCTTCGTGTTTGCTTCCTCTTCCTTTTACTTTCTTAGGTTTTTATTTCCTGCCAGAAGGCGATGCTATTCGGATTATCTGGATTTTATTCCTCCCATCTTAACCCCTCCATTCCCTGTCCCAGTCATGGTATCATCTGATTCGCCATAAAGGGCATCCCGGGATATGGTCCCCTCCAGGGTTCCTGGACTCCCTCGGAGGAGGCCATACAGCGCCCACCTGCCCCGGCAGCCCCTGCCTCCCCACCCAAGCCCAGGCGATTCACCCTGCAGGACAGGGGCTCCGTGGAGTCCCGACATGAACCCTCCCTCCGCCTTTTGTGTTCCTAGGACCCCCGAGAGGGTGCGGTAAACAGGGGTGGCCTGGACCCTCTGAAAGTGATGGGAAGTGCTTTGTACACAAGGAACCAGACTCTATAATTTAGAGGAGAATTTCCAGGGCAATTCCATTGTAAGGTCGGGTTTATGGTGTGTAATCGAGCCGGGCAGTAAAAGGTGGCCAAGCTTCCAGCGTGGCCTGTGCAGTTTATGAGGCATTTAGGGAAGGGTCCTCCCCACCATCCTCCACCCCACGGTGGGAGGCCGGGGCTTCAGCGGGTCTAACGTAGTGCAGGGGTCGGAGGCCTGGGAAGCAGGAGTTGAAGTCTCCCTCGGGAGGAGTGAGAGTGCTGTGCGCTCTGCTCTCTGTGAGCTCATAGTTGGATAGGTGCAGGCTCCCGAGCTGGGTAGCCTTTGTTTTTTAAAAGACATGGGGGTCCAGAGTGGGTTGCAGTCCCCAAGCCGCAGCCTCTCCAAATCAGTTCTAAAGCGTGCATTGCTCCCACGCACCCAGACCCATGAAATGAAGGCCTGGGGATGTCTTGGGTGAAGGTTGCCAGAAACTCCCGGCACTGGGAGTGCCTGGAAAGGTGCGATCCTGAGGTTCCTCCAAGCTGGGGGAAAGAAACCCGGTTCCCCGTGAGCCAGGGGGGACCAGGGACCGTAGGGAGGACAAAGGAGTCTTCAGCCATTTATCCAGCTGCCGGAGGCCAGCCAGGTGCCCAGGAGCAAACGCACACAGCTTGCAGCGCTGCAGTGTCCAAGAGGAAGGGGGGGGCCCACGTTAATAAATCTGTTGGCAAATGAGGCTCATTAATAGATAAATATTTCACTGCTTCCTTTAGGGCGGATAAACAGTGTGCCGCCGATTAAGGAAAGGAAGCTGGGAGACGTTGACTTTATTCGAACCACATGGTTCCAGTTTGTGGTGGCATTTTCGCCGCAGCTGTAAGCGACGCTGCGCCTGCCCCGTCTGGATGCGAGTCTAAGTCCGGCTTGTCGCCCACTGGACCTGGGTGAGGGGAGACTGGGCACAGAGTCGATCCGCGCATAGCGGAGACCTGCCCACAAGGCCACCGTGGGGCGGGCGGGCGCAGAGACCCTTCCAGGGGCTGGGCGGAGGACAGAAGAGGGGACAGGGAGGACGCACGGGCTCGGTCCGGAGTTCACCCCCAGGCGCGAGGGGGCCGT